CTTTCTAAAACATGCCACTGAAGTGATATAGATAAAAGACACAGAACATCTACTCTTCTCTACACAACCATAGTCCATATTTCATTCACAAGCACAAAATGTTTGTAGTACTTCGAAGGAGCTCTTTTAAAAATGTTTTAATTGCTATTATGAAGGTGATATACAGAGCAGTTACAGTTACATAACTAGGTAAGGAGTAAGTACATTTCTTTTTGGACACTGTCACGCCTTCCCTCACTCAGTTTTTCCTTTCCTTCTGCACCCAGAAGCTGTATAGTTCCTTCCCTCATATATTCTTAGGGGTTCTTAAAAAGAAAATGTTCTTGGGCTCTCTTGACAGGTTTTTTCTATAGAACTCTATTGATGAACTTACTGGAAAAGTGTGATATATACTAACCATTATTTTCCCAACTTTCTTTCACCTTCCAACTATTTGTATCACCGTAGACTTATTTTATGTCAGCACCCAGAACTTTCTCTAATGCATTACCTTTAGGTTATGCTGTGTGCTCTTTCTGCAGGCTCTCTTTTCAAGTATTATTCTCAACACTGAGAATTCAACTAACACTAAGCAAGGGGGCCACATGTAGTATGTAGACATAAGAAGATAGTGCCTTTGAGAAAATTAAAGTATAGATTCAATTATGAGAGACAGAGGATGACTGGATAAACCAGTTAACAACTAATAAGCTTCTAAGATTAAAACTGGTTTTCTGTAATCGAGAAGAAAAATTTAGAGGTGTTTACACATATAAATTAATCAATGTTATGCATTAAAATCACAACAGGAGCCAGGACCTGTGGCTAATGGCTGTTATCTTAGCTACTCAAGAGACTGAGATCTGAGGAGTGTAGTTTGAAACTAGTAAAACAGGAAAGTCCATGAGACTTTTATCTTCAATAAACCAGAAGTGATGCTGTGGCCATGTGGTAGTGCTCTGGCCTTGAGTAAAAGAAGCAGAGAGGTAGCCCCCTGGCCTAGAGTTCATGCCTCAGGAGTAGCTAGAAAGAGAGAGGGAGAGAAAGAGAGAGAGAGAGAGAGAGAGAGAGAGAGAGAGAGAATGAGAGAGACAGACAGACAGAGACAGAGACAGAGAGACAGAGAGAAATAGAGAGAGACAGAGACAGAGAGACAGAAATTAAGCCAGGTGCTGGTGACTCACTCCTGTAATCCTAGCTACTGAGAGAGAGAGAGAGAGAGACAGAGAGAGACAGAGAGACAGAGAGAGAGACAGAGACAGAGACAGAGACAGAGGACAGAGAGACAGAGAGAGACAGAGAGAGAGAGAAAGGAGAGAACACACAAGAAGAATAAAATTAAGCCGGTGCTGATGGCTCATGCCTATAATCTTAGCTACTCAGGAGACTGAGATCTGAGAATCTCCGTTCAAAGCCAGGCGGGGCAGGAATGTCTGTGAGAACCTTATCTCCAATTAACCACCAGAAAACAGGAAGTGGTGCTGCAATTCAAGTAGAAGGGTGCTATCCTTGAGCTGAAGAGCTGAGGGACAGTGCCCAGGCCCAGAGTTCAAGACCCATGACTGACAAAAAAATAAAAAAAAGATGAAAAGAGAACATCACAACAGAAATATATACAAGATTCAGATTATTAGGCAATGTTTTTACAAACCTTTATGCCAATAAATTTGAGAATCTGGGAGAAATGGAAGCATTCCTATACCCAAACTGAACCAAGAAGATTTAAGCCAACTAGATAGACCCATAGCAAGTAATAACATTGAAATGACAATAAAGGATCACCTAGCCAAGAAAAGCTCAGGACTTGACAGATTCACAGCTGAATTCTATGAGACCTTCAAAGAAAAACTCACTCCCGTACTCTTCAAACTCTTCAATGAAATAAAAATGGAAAGATCACTAGCAAACTCATTTTATGAAGCCAGAGTAACAATCATCTGCAAAACAGATAGGGTCCCATCAAAGAAAGAGAACTATAGTGTAAACTTGTTCAGCCACTCTGGAAAGGAATATGGAGATTCCTCAAAAGGCTACACCGAGCTCCTCTATAACCCAGCAATCCCACTTTTGGGCATTTACCCAAATGATCACACACAAGGCCATACTAAAACTACCATCCCAGCTATGTTTATTGTAGCATTATTCACCATAACTAAGATATGGAACCAACCTAGATGCCCCACTGTGGATGAATGGATCAAGAAAATGTTATATATATATCTATATCTATAGATATAGATGTATATGAATTCTATGCCTCTTCAGAAAGAATGACACTGCCCCATTTGTTAGGAAATGGAAAACTTGGAAAAATTATATTAAGTGAACTAAGCTAGGTTCAAAGAAACATAGGTCCCATGGTTTCCTTTATCTGCAATAACTAATATATGTCTAGGACAAGCAGAAAAGGTCAAAAGCTATGTACATATTACCATATAAGATGATACTAAGCGAAATGAACCCCAAGATAGGGGCACAAGAGGTTTTATATTTTTGTTACTGCTGTTGTTAATGTACGTATAATGTACGATGTGATTTTTTTGTTTCTTTTGTATGTTCTTTCCCCATGATATAACCCCTGTTTTCACTGTATTTGATTCCAGTGCCCTGCATCTTGTATATACATTTTTATAATTTGGGGAGGGGAAAGGAAATAACAAAATGTTGAAATAAGGATACAGGTTGACCCATTATAACAATGTGATGTACAGGACACTATGTTGAAAATGAACTTCACAACTTTGGGGGGGAGAGGGAGGAATTGAGGTGGTGGGGTGGGATGGTGGGGGAAAAACAAAGGAGGGGGTAACAATGCTCGATAGGAAATGTACTCATTACCTTACTCATGTAACTGTAACTCCTCTATATAGTATCTTTACAATTATATATACATATATATATATTAAAAAAGAAAGAATTATAGACCTATCTCTTTGATGAACATTGATGCAAAATTTCTTAATAAAATTCTGGCCAACAGAATTCAACAGCTAACCAAAAAATCATACACTATGATCCAGTTGAATTCATTCCAGAGTTGCTAAGCTGGTTCAAGATCCACAAGTTAATTAATGTAATTCAAAATATCAAGAGCAGCAAGAACAAGAATGATCATCTCAACAAATATAGAAAAAGTATTGATAAGACTCAACACCCTTGTATGATTAAAAACTCTGGAGAAACTAGGAATCCATGGAACATTTCTCAATATAAAGGCTGTCTGTGATAAGCCTACAAGCCAGCATTATGATTAATAGGGAAAAGTTGAAAACATTCCCTCTAAAATCAGGAATGACACAAGGATACTCACTCTCTCCACTCCTCTTCAACACAGTGCTTGAATTCCTAACAAGTACAATAAGGTAAGAGCCAAACATAAAGGAGATCCAAATAGGGAAAGAAGAAGTAAGAAGAAGAGGCTAAATATCCCTCTTTGTAGATTACATGAGCCTGTATTTAAAGATCCCTATAGATTCCTCACTCAAGCTACTTGAGCTAATCTAAACCTTTGACAAAGTAGCAGGTATAAGATCAACTCACAAAAATCAGTAGCTCTCCTGTATGCCAACAATGAGAAGAGCTAATCTGAAATCAGGAAAGCAACTCCATTTTTAATAGCTCAAACTAACAACAACAACAAAAAGACACCTAGGAATTAACCAACTTTGTGAAGGTTGTCTACTGTGAAAAATTTTAAATTCTGAAAAAAGAAATTGAGTCACGTTAAAGAAGTTGAAAAGCCTCCCATTCTCCTGAATGGAAAGAATTAACATTGCAAAATGGCAATAGTGCCCATGCAATATGCATATTCAATGCATTACCCATCAATATCCAAACTTTCTTCAAAGAAATATAGAAGTCAACCCAAAAATTCATATGGAATAATAAAAGACCCAGAATAGCAAAAACAATTCTTAGCAGGAAGTACAGTGCTAAAGGAATATCAATAGCAAACTTCAAGCTTTATTACTAAGCCATTAAAAAAAAACAGCTTGGTACTGGCACAAAAATAGGCCTGGGGACCAATGGAACAGAATAGAAGACCCAGAAATAAGCCCACAAACATATAGGCTCCTAATATTTGACAAGGGAGCCAAAAACAGAAGTTGGTGTTGGCAACGTTCGCTATCAACGTGCAGGAAACTGCACCAGAATCAAATGTAAATGGATCAAAGATCTCAATGTAAGGCCAGATACTTCGAAAATATTACAGGAAGGGATTAGGGGAAACACTAGACCTAGGGGTGAAACTTTCTAAGTAAAGATTGATAATCACAACAAATCAAAGAAAATAGATAAATAGGTCTAGATAAATAGGACTGCATCAAACTGAAGAGCTTCTGCATGGCAAAGGATAGAGCAAGCAAGACAAACAGAAAGCCCACAGATTGGGAGAAGATTTTTACTAGCTGTGTATCAGACAAGGGCCTCATATCTAATATATACTTAGAGCTCAAAATATTAACTCCCTTTTCAAATTAAAAAAAAACAACAAGCCGGGCGCTGGTGGCTCACGCCTGTAATCCTAGCTACTCAGGAGGCTGAGATCTGAGGATCGCAGTTCAAAGCCAGCCCGGGCAGGAGACACCGTGAGACTCCTATCTCCAATAAACCGCCAGAAAACCGGAAGTGGCGCTGTAGCTCAAGTGGTAGAGCGCTCACCTTGAGCTGAAGAGGTGAGGGACAGCGCCCAGGCCCAGAGTTCAAGCCCCACGACTGACAAAAAACAAACAAACAAACAAAAAAAACAAACAATCCTCACAGAAACAGCAACTCAATTAGTAAGTGTTGTAAAGACTTAAAGGGAGACTTCTCAGAAGAATAAGTAAGAATGCCCAATAGACTCATGAAGAGATGCTCAACATCTCTGGCCATAAAATACAGGCAAATCAAAACAACATCAAGATTTCACCTCACCCCAGTTAGAATGGCCATTATCAAGAAAACAAATAATAACGATGCCAGCAGCCAAAACAAAACTCTATTACACTATTGATGTGAATGTAAACTTGTTCACCATTCTGAAAAGCAGTATGGACGTTGGTTAAAACACTAAATGATATTTACCCTATGATCCAGCAATAGCACTCTTAGGCATTTATCCAGTGGAACATTAACAACACCACACTAAAGCTAGCAGCACAATCATGTTCATGGCAGCATTGTTTTCCATAGCCAAGATATAGCATCAGCCCAGATACCTCTCAGTGGCTGGTTGGATCAAGAAAATGTGGTGTATATACATAATGGAATTCTCCTCATCCATCAGAAGGAACAATTTTGTAGCATTCGTAAGGAAATTAAAAGACTTGGAAAAAAATATTAAGAGAAAAAAGCCAGAGCCAAATAAACATAGGTTGTATTGTTTCCCTCATTTGTGGTAACTAGAATGTAATCTACTAGCAAATACACTATAACACACATCCACACACACACACATAGTGGAACATGATAAATTATATAGAACTCTAGACATTTACACACTGACGCTGAAGGAGGATATGCATAGTAGTTGACAAAGCCTCAATATCTATGTGCATATGATGATATAAAATAATATTTTGTGAAATGAACTGCAAAAAAAGGAAACAAGAGATATTTTTCTTTGCTGTTGTTGCTGTTTTTGTTTTCTTTTCGTTTTGTCTTGTTTGTTAGTTTGCTTATATTTTGGAGGACAATGGGAGCACAGAAAAGAGGAACAAAGTTTGAATAAATTCAGCCATGGTACTCACTAGTCACTATGTGGAAAATCAATTATACAACTTGGGAGAATGAAGAAAGGGGAGACATGGTTCAAAAAGAATTGTACTTATTACCCGATTCATGTAACTGTAATCCCTCTGTATATCAAATCTACAATAACAATAAAAAGAAAAAAGTGAGAGAAATAAAGACTTTTATTTCACTTTTGTAATAACACCTAAATCCGCATCTATGTCTTTTTCACAACTGCCACTTGAATGTTGAAAATTACACATTTTGCAGGAACAGTGCACTATTATAGTGAGATAATAAAATTAAAGCACTACAAGACTGGGATTACTTCCCCTAATCACAAAGAATTAGAAAAGTTCATTTCCCTTTTAATAGTTGCCAAATGACAATGTTATATTTCTTCTTTTCTCTCTTTTTCTTTATTTGTCCCCACCTCGACCTCTGTAGTACTGAGTAATGTATCTAAGGCCTTATACATAGTCTAATTTAAGAAAAAAATTGCTCTCATAAAAATGAAACAAATAAATGTATACATTTTCTTGTTTTAATAGCCAACACTTCATGTGTCGATTGGCCATCCTTCTTTCCTCTTCAGAGAAGTTCTCTTTAAGTCTTTAGCCCACTTATTTATTGGGCAGTTGTTTCTTTGAGGATTTGTTGTTGGAGGATTTAATTTTTTGAGTTTCAGGTATATTTTAGATATGAGATCCTTGTCTGTTGTATGGCTAGTGAAGATCTCCCAATCCGTGGGCTTTCTATTAATCTTGCGAGCTATGTCCTTTGCCATGCAGAAGCTCTGCGATTTCATGCAATCCCATTAGTCCAACCTTTCTTTGATTTGTTGTGTTTCTGGGTCTCTATTAAGAAAATGTCAGCCTGTGCCAAGGAGTCCTAGGGTTTCTCCTATTCCATCCTGTAATGTTTTCAGGGTGTCTGCTTTAACTCCGAGGTCTTTGATCCATTTGGAGTTGATTCTGGTGCAGGGTGATATATAAGGATCTAGCTTTAGTTTTCTGCAAGTAGTTAACCAATTTTGCCAGCAGCATTCACTGAACAGGCTGTCTTTCTTCCATTCTACTTTTTAGCTCCCTTATTGAAAATTAGATGGCTATAGGTCTGTGGGTTCATTTCTGGGTTTTCAATTCTATTCCATTGGTCTTGAAGTCTGTTCCTGTGCCAGTACCAAGCTGTTTTGATTACTATGGCTTTGTAGTAGAGTTTGAAATTTGCTATTGATATTCCTCCAGCACTGTTCTTTCTGTTGAGGATCGTTTTAGCTATAAATGCTCAACCTCCTTAGCCATAAAAGAAATGCAAATCAAAACAACATTGAGATACCACCTCACCCCAGTTAGAATGGCTATAATCAAGAACTCTAATAACAACAGATGATGGAGGGGATGTGGACAGAAGGGAACCTTACTGCATTGTTGGTGGGAGTGTAAACTTTGGAAAGTAGTACGGAGGTTCCTCAAAAGATTCCACATAGGGCTCCCCTATGACCCAGCAATCCAACTTTTGGGCATTTACCCAAATGATCACAAACAAGGCCACACTAAAGCTACCAGCACGGCTATGTTTATTGTAGCATTATTTACCATAGCTAAGATATGGAACCAACCCAGATGCCCCTTGGTAGATGAATGGATCAAGAAAATGTGGTATATATACTCAATGGAATGACATTGCCCCATTTGTTAGAAATGGAAAGACTTGGAAATAATTATAATAAGTGAAGTAAGCCAGGCCCAAAGAAACTTAGGTCCCATGGTTTCCCTTATTTGCAATAACTAGTATATGTCTGAGTCAAGCAGAAAAGGTCAGATAAGTTGATGTGAGGGAAATGAACTCTACGATATGTATTCAAATGCTTTTTTTTCTTTCAGGTGATTGTTTCTAACACATTTATAAGATTATTTCTTTGTTGCTTTGTATGTCCCTCCCCCACGGTATAACCCCTGCTTTCACTGTATTTGAGGTTGGTATAATTTGTCGAAGGGAAGGAAAAAAACAAATCATTTAAATAGGGATACAGGTGGATCCATTGCAACAATGAATGTACAAGTCATTATGTGGAAAAACGAACTTTACAACTTTGGTGGTGGGGGGAGGAGGATTAAGTGGTGAGGCAAGGGGAGGATGGGAAGGGATGAGAAAGGGAAACAAAGTAGGAGGCTACAATGCTTGATAAGAAATGTACTCATTATCTGGCCCATGTAATTGTAACCATGTAATTGTAAATAAACACTGAAAAAAAATAGCCAACACTGGTTCTAGGCAGAGTTTCAAAGTAGGATTAGGCTGAAATGGAACTATAATTTTAAGGTAGTGATTTTCTTATTGTGTTGATTACCTGATATAAATTGTGATGATGAATTAAACAAATGGTAAATAAAATAAGTAAAGAAAAGGGGTCACCTACATATACCAGCATCAGAGTATTTGCTTGCCCAGTTCTAGAACTAGAACTAGAACTTTTGCCAGTAAAATTGTTAATAAAATAAACATTTTTTCTACCACATTGTAGATGCTTAGTTGATACATTGACTCAATGAATTCTTCATAAAGAATTCTTCTCATAAAGTCAAATAGTCCATTGTTAGAGCCTTCACTGGAATGCTGTTTGTGCTAATAATGTGCATTATATGAGAGTACTTCTGTTCATTTTTAAAATTTTTATTTTATTGGAAAGGTGATGTACAGAGGGATTACATTTACATAAGTAAAGAAATGAATTCATTCATTGTCAAACATTGTTACTCCCTCCCTGTTTTCTATGCATCCATCAGAAAGAATGACATCACCCATTTGTAAGGAAATGAAAAGACTTGGAAAAATTCATATTAAGTGAAGTAAGCCAGACCCAAAGACACACAGGCTCCATGGTTTCTTTCATTTGTAATAATTAGTATATGTTTAGAATAGTCCTAGCAGAGGATCACAACTGCTCAATAGCTATGGACACACAACCGTATAAAATGATACTAATCAAAATGAACTCAAGATATGGAAATGAGTTTTTTTAAGGTATAGTGTGAATTTCTTTCTTCTTTCTTTTTTTTCTCATCTCATTTATGTTCTGTTTTCACTGTTTCTTATTTTTGGTATCCTGTGTCCTGTACATTTATCTGATTTGGGTAAAGGAAAGGGAACAACAAAATGGTGAGACAAAGAACAAAGGGTGAACCAATGCAACAGCAAAATTCACAACACACTCTGTTGGAAGTGGGGGTACTTTTTGACTGAAATTATTGGCACTGATATCCCATTTTTTTGGCAGAAAGAAGCTTTAAACTAGATAAGGGGAGTAAAAAAAAAAGAAAAGAAAGAAACACTAAGAGTCTTTGCTATTGTTGTCCTTATTTTCGTAGCAGTTCTGTATTTGAACTCAGGGAATTGTGCTTTTATGCACTCTACCACTGGTGAACCCTGGCTCCATCGTCTTTTGGTTGAGTTTGTTTTTAGATAAGGTCTTGTACTTTTGCTTGAGTGGGCTTAGAACCACAATATATGAGGTTGAAATCTCTAAAAAAGGAAAATAAGGCAAGCTTGTGGTTATTCCAAATTATTGCACAAAGAGATTTTCTAAATAGCTCAGAAAGGTCAACCCAAAAGAGGCTACCAGAGATTAGTGTTCAGGAGACTAAAACAGATTACAGTAGATGAATACAAATTTCAGAGAGCAGAAAGATGCAGAGGGACCATTCGAGAGATCTAAGTTTCCTCAAGTTTTCTGTTTAATCTAAAATTCCAGGAGAACAAAAATACCCCAAGCCAGAGCAAAAACTCACATTAATGTCTACAAAGCCCTACACTGCATAAAATGTTAGAACTGACTTGGATTTTCTCTAGTCAAAGTGAAATCCACTAAATCCTACAGAGAATGCTAGGAAGGAAAGATATTGTGTCCACAGTGGGGATAGCTGCAAACCAAAGTTTCTCTGCACTTTCCCTAATGAAAACTAAAAGCAAGTCTTGAAAGGATCCAATTAATTTTAGTTTACTTAAATGCTAGTCAGAATAACATCCACACTTTAAAAAAGGTTTAATAACATGACACTGACTTACCTTGATTGGCATTACAGTCGAAATAATTGTAATAATAACAATAGTACTAATAATTATACAATAAAATAGTAATAATTACAATTATTATGTAAGTATGCAAAGAAGGAAGAAAATATGAGTTATAGCTAGTAAAGAAAGCTAAGTCAAGAGAAAAAGACCCAGAGATGGTACAAGTGAGGCAATTAGCAAATAAGGCATGAAATTCCATAATAAAAATGTATACTTTATTTCTCAGTGCAACAGAGAAA